GAGAAGCAGTTATGTTGTAAAATACTTTCTAAAATGTTAAAACAAAATATTTACAGGCTGTATATACTGCTGCTGAAAGTGTGGAAGAATGTGTCCATAATCCATTACTTGTTGAAGTTAGCAGGTGTTTTTGGCAGCCATGGATGTCGGAGCCATATTCTTTAACTTGAATAGACAGAACACCGTAATACTTGCAAAGTTTATAATTCAGTTCATTTTGGTGACGTGTTGTGTTGCAAGTATTGTATACGCAGTCGTGAAGTCCTCATTTTTTACTATTATTACCAGTTTCTGTAGTATTTTCTCAAGCACACGTCCTGTGAACCCCAGGAGGAGCCTTGCCTATGCAGACAACCATTTTAATGTCACATTAGCAAGCCTATCACGATTTCCATTTGTCTATCAAACTGGAAAATTCAAAACCGTTTTCTTGGGTATGTGTATGAAGATGCAGAGAGGGGGTTTTGCATGACCGAACTCAAGAAAAATGCGTAATTATTTTGATATATGAAAATGTTTGTAAATAAGTTAGTATCTATATTAACAGTAGTATAGAAAATGTGACTTATATAGAGGAAAACTCACTAATGATGTGTTTTCATTAAAACAGGTAAAGAGCAGTTAGGTTTAAACTTGGCTCTTTCTTCTTGTCATGTGGATCTTCTCCAGAAACCCTGCAATAACGGAATCTGTAGTCAAGCTGTAATTTATTTCACTGCTGTGACAGACTTTATGCAGGATGGAGACAGAATTACCAGAATTGCAGTCGAACCTATATCCAGTGAGAATTTCCTGTGGAATGGCTATGTTCCAGAAAGCACACAGGTTGAAAATCTTCATGTTAAGCTCTGTAAACTGGCCAGAAATGTGGCTGATGTTAATGAAGCTTCTCTTTCAGTTGTGACTTGCTGACTCACACCCAGATTTCTAAGTGGTCAATTTTCCATTGTTTCACTTTCATTGGAATGCTGCATTTTCATTTGAATTAACTTTTTTACATTTTAATATTGATATAACTACCCAGATTGATTAAAAGTATAATATATTTATTAGAATGTAAAGTAGTATCATAAGATGAAATAATGTGCCTGAGTCTGTTTATTGCCTAATCTGACACGGCTTACTGTGTGCTTCTTTGTTTTGAAGATTACAGTAAAGGATCTACCCACTGCCTACTGCTACTCATTTACTGATCCTCATATAATTACGTTTGATGGAAGGTAATCACTGGATTGCTGCTCTTAATTTTAAGTGTGTTGAGATATTTTGTGGGTGTTTTTTGGGGGGTGGTGTTGTATTTATTTATTTAAAATCTGTGCTGGTGATACAAATTAGCTGTAGTTTTCCACAACTGCACTTTGTATTTTACATTCTTTCTTGGACAATAAGGATAAACGTGCTTTAGTTAGTAAAAGCTTGCCAGTCATGATGATGTTTGTAATACTTGTATTTCTAAATGCAAGTTTTGGGGTTGTGGCAAGAGAGTGAAGCAAATGGACTGTTTTCCTTTTTAGAGGAGTATGCCAAGAGAGGAGTGGTTGCTGTCCAGTCTGTTGACTATGAAAGATAGAAATGTTATTAAATATGAACAATGATAAAATGATTGATTAGGCAAAACTGTTTTAATGCAAAGGTGTTTCCGATCTACAGCCTAGTTTACCTATTTCTGGGTGTCAGTATCTGAATCCTTGTAGGGATCAAGTTGCTAGAAGCTATCTGCTGTCTGTGTAACATTGTGCTGAGTTAATTAATGGCATTGAAAGCGACTTATTCACTGCTGTCACTTGCACATCACTGACCTTTCTAAAGCGAAGACAGCTTCCTTGGCCACAGCTGGCATGTTTTTGGTATGCTTCCATCTTTCAAAGTGTTTCTAATTCATGGAAGGTGTCAAAACAAACACAGGTTACACACCTGGGGCTTTTATATTCTCTGCTCAGCAGAAGCACATTTCTTCCAGTGGCAGGGTGAGAAGAAGAGGATATGTTGCCTCCAAATAAGGATGTTCAGCCCACAACCCCACTCTTCTTGTGAACTTGATAACAGAAGGGAAAGAACGAGTTGTAATTGCTTCTCTGATAGCACTGTGATTAGTAATAATAATAATAAAGTCACTGGGGTTATCCTGATCTTGCAGTTCCTCCTTCAGTGGAAATTATGGGGATGGCTTCACTGGGCATTTCAACCATCATCGATGCATTGTGATCAAGCTTTCTTATGAATCAGTGATTTACTGTGATATGGTCTGGCTGGAAGCATGATGCTATGGGGAAAAAACTTTCTTTTTAAGGATAAAGTCTGTTGCTACTTTATTTTACAAATTGAGGAAACAAATAGAAGAGTAACTGTCCTTACTGAACCACGGGTAATCCTGTGCAGTCCTAGTAGGGTAGCCATCTGTAGTTTGTCTGCTGGCACATTATACACAAAGCAAATCACCGTTCTGCAATTAACTGTCAAATGCCATTTATAGCCAAGAGACTGTTAAACTTGCAGCAGAAGTTTGGGGTTTTTTCTTTCTTTTCTTTTTTTTTTTTTCTTTTTTTCCCTTCTCACCGCTGAATCATTAAATTGGCTAGTTTAACCTTGCTTCAGGGGACAGATGGCTAACCCTAAGGAAAAAAAGGGAAGTCGCTATTTATGGTTTTCATCTTAAATAATTTTCAGATCTCTGGGAATAAGCACTCCCCATCTCAATCTCAATCAAGCAGACCTTTTTAAAAGTACGTGACTTTCTAAATCATTTTGTCAAGGGTACTTATGCAGTTTTCAGCAGCTGTCCCCCACATGCACACTGCTACGCATCTTATTGCTCTTGCTGCATAGGTGTACTGATGTAGAAACACAAAGGTTGAGAAGTAGCCTCCATTTCCCTGTCATAAGCACTGTTAAAAAAAACTTCAGAGAATGGCAGTGGCTTCGTAGCTATGTTTCCATTCACAACCATTGTCTACATATACTCCACTTGTGATCCTTCTTTTATTCCTTATTTTTCTGATGTAAAACAGGTTTAATTTTTTTGATTTAGAGCTGCACAGAGGAAGATACGATGGTGTTTGTTCGGAACAAAGTTGTGTGTCGGTTTGTGGGCTGTACTGTTTGGTTTTTCTGATGCAGGAAAATGAGTTGCAGTATCAAAGTTCACCAAATATTAGCAATCTTTTAAGATAAAGTTGCTGACATGTGGTGATAGAGTTATTTTATAACCAAAGTGATATCACACACTATTCTTTTGATTCCAGACTCTATGACAATTTTAAAACGGGAACATTTGTCCTCTATAAGAGTACGTCTCGAGATTTTGAAGTTCACGTTCGCCAGTGGGACTGTGGAAGTCTTCACTACCCAGCATCCTGTAACTGTGGCTTTGTTGCCAAAGAAGGAAGTGATATAATTGCGTTTGACATGTGCAGTGGTCAGCTACATGAGTCACAGCCACACTTATCTGTAATAAATAGAGACACAACAGGAAACAATGTCAGAATCACCGAATCCTACCTAGGAAGAAAAGTAACAGTAAGTAGTAAATAATTGCTTGCGGGTGTAATGGTTATCTCGGCAATTATTTTTACCAATTCATGCCAACTTCAGAACTAAAACGTTTTCTTTTCTGCAACTAAGCAATAGCATAATGTTTATTTTACAATCGTAGTCCATTGGCCAGTGTTTTGCTTGTAAGTGAAGGATGTTGTCCTCAAAAACAAGGATGTCTCAACATGCATACCTTTCTGGAACCATTTTGTCAATCACAGTATACAACCCTTGTGTGGAAGGTGCAGTTTTCAGATTCAGTATGCACTTATTTAGCAGCCCTCATGTTCCAAAATGAGATCTCTGCGTGCTCTATTTCGCTCATGCCAGTGTCATGTAGGAAGGCTGTGCATGCAGATAATTAAATATGCCAAATGACATCCATAGAATTAGAAGTGTAGATGGTTTCTCTAGAGAATGTGGCCCTCAGATAAAACATTCACATTTGCTTTTATAATTTCCTGTAGCTTTTCTTTTGTAGATAGAATTGCTGTAGGACTCCACTGAACTTCAAATGAAGCAGAGTGTAAAAATGAAGCCCTCAACTGCTCTTTAGTCGCTCTGTTGGTCTGGAAGGCAAGCCATAAAAAGACATATGCCTTTTCAACTTGGGTTTGGCTATTGGTATAAGACTACTTTAAATATTTAACTTTTATCTGAAGCACTTCATTTGAAGACCTCAGATATGAAATACTAAGATGACATTAGGCAATAGAGAAATTAAAAGAATACTGAGGAACCAGAAAAATTAAATGACTTGCTCAGATTTGTACAGCAAGTTAATAATAGAAACAGCATTTAAACTTGCAGTGGATTTTGTTCTTGAGACTTCTAGTATTTCTTTCAAGAGATTGTAAAGTTACCTAAAATTAAACAGTAAATATTTGAGACCATTCTGAGCTATCTAGAACATTTAGGATCAGCTTTGCAGGTAGAAAGTGACTCTATATTAAGCTACTAACACAGGGAATCATGTAGCTGACAAAAAGAAGATTGAGAAAGGTGCTGCCAAAGAGTCTATTCGTATTACCAGAATCATCCATTTCCATATGCTAGCATGTGAAGAGTGAGCAGCCCAGCTGATCTTTGATTCTCTGTGGTTTTGTAGTCACTGACCTCCCACAATATACCTGCTAATGATGGATGAAGTTTATGGACCTATAGTGCACCATCTAGCTGCCTGCTAAGGTTGAGATGTATAGGGTTTTTATTTACAGGGCTTCACGAGAGGAAGAAATAATGAAATTTTTCTGATCCAGAATAAAGCAAGAATTTAATGGGATGTCTTTATATGCCTGGCCTTTTCCAATTATTCCTTGACAACAAACATACCTGGTTTTATTAGGTAAAATAAAAATCATGTTTCTCATGGTGATATCATCAATCTCTTTTTAGGTTTTGTTTTCTTCTGGAGCTTTCGTTCGTGCTGATGTGAGTGAATGGGGAATGAGCATAACACTTAGGGCACCGAGTTCAGATTACAGACATACAGTGGGACTCTGTGGCACCTTTGACGGAAGTGCAGAGAATGACTATCACACTGCAAGTGGGGTGGAAATCCCAAACCATGCTAATGTTCCTTTTTCTTTTATTAAGGAATGGAGGTAACAAATTACTTCTGTTTCAATCAAATGTCATCATTTTTGGTTCAACCTTTCCTTCACACTCTTAAAAACTTGTCAAAATAATAAAAAAATAATCTTCCTAAGTTTTTTATGTTAATGTTAGAATGCCATCATTACATTCCATAATTGATTTCAGAGAAAATTGAAACTGAAGTGCCAAATTAGTTGTATGATGTAAGATTAGTTTGAGTAGGTTTTCAACAACATATCAAGATATACAGAAAATATCCACTCTTCTCAATTCTTCTATTATAAGTTACTCTCATGGTTTTGTGATTTTAACTGGTCTTTAAATATAGCTGTATGCTGCAGATTCTGTGACCTATGCTGTAGAAGTATGAAACGACAAAAAGCAAAACAAATGTTAATACTTTACTAAAACAATGAAAATAGTTCAGATATAGTTTTAGCTTTTTCTTTCTTCTCTAGAATTTCACCAGGAGATAGCTTGTTTGACAAGACACCCGCTTCTTTAACATCTTCTAGAAAAATAGTCTTCTGTGACTGCGCACTTGAAGATGCTGGACTATATCGATCCATGAATAAACTAGAGACAGTTTCTCAGTCAGAACTTCCTCTGTCTTGTAAAGAAGGTGCAAATGGTAGATTTCTTTCTTTGATACCAGGACTGGATGTCACTGCTGAGTATCTCGGTCCTGTTGATCTTGTCAGAGGCTTAAAGAAACGTTCGTCTGCACTTGAAATGAATTCTTCTACACCTCTGCAGAGGGAGGATAATCAAACCAAACTTCACAAAACGTCACAACTAAACACGCGTGTCTCTCCAACCTCAGTGGGAAATACTGGCATAGAAAGAGAAGGAACTTCAAGCTCAGACACTAGAAGAAATTCTCACCGTTACAGTAGTCATCTTCACAAAAGTCAATCTGTTACAAGTAGGGGGAAGCGCCAAAATTATTACGAATACCATCCAGTATTTCTGTTCCAAAGTCTTAGCCAAACAGACTTAGCGGGATATAGTTATTTTTTCCCAGAGGACCACGCCACTGACACAGACCAAAAGTTTCTTCCTTCTTGGCCCACACCTTCTGGCCTCACCGAGTCTAGCGCTTTGTTACTATGCCAGCAGGCAATAGCTAATTCCAGTATAGGAAGATCTTGTGGTGGCCTTCTTGGCCAGCGAATAGAGCATGCGATCAGTATGTGTGTTAAAGATTTGCTGCTGAAAGATGACCTCGGTTGGGCAGAAGCTTCCTTAGCTCTTCTAGAGAATGAGTGTGAGAAAAGAGTTTTAGAAGAAAGAAATTACAACCGACAGGAACTTGAAGGGTCGGTTGAGAGCCTGCTTATTGCATTGAAGTGTCCCAGTCTCTGCAGTGGTAATGGGGAATGTACAGAATGGGGCTGTGCATGTTTCCAAGGCTACAGCTCATATGACTGCAGCATACTGTCTGGTAAGTGGGGGGAAAAAAAAATCAGATTTACTTAAATAATGTTCTCAATGTTTGTGCAACATACATTTATTTTGCTGCCTCTCTCTCCTGCTTTTGTATGCTGACAAGGGTTCCCTACAGTGGCCCCGTTCGCTATCCAGCAATTTAGTTCCAGTTTAATACAGCCATAGTTGTTTTCTATTCAACCTTCTTGTTTCCGAAGGGCAAAACATGGGCTTAGTTTCTGGTATGTCAGATTTTAAAAATTTACCACTTGGTGAGTTTGCAATCCAGAGTATTGCCCCAAGAGATTAGCAATGCTTCCACATGCTGTCTTCTTCAGGGAAGATCTGCCACAGCCATCCATTCCCTAATTTTTTATAGTCTATGTGATCCTGTTTATTAACTGTAAGTGGGATGTTTTTCTCTTTGGTGATGTTACATCTCTGTAAACTAACTGTTAGATGTGGTGGGAGCAGAATTGATGGCAAAGAAAAAAAGCTACAGCAAATAGAGCTGGACAGGGTTGGGGTTTTTTTCAGTAAATAAGACATTCACTAAAAATTCAGTTAAGCAGGTATACTGGAAAAATGTGAAAAGTACTAGAAAAGTCAAAACCCTTTCAAAACAAAACCTGTCAATATTTTGCTTGGCAATGGTGTTTTTGTTTTAGCAACCTATTTAAAAGCAAATAGAGAAAGGTAAGAGAATAATAAAAAAGAAATATTTTATTGCTCTTGAAGTCAAATAAACTAGTTTTGCTTCATAAAAACTATTTTTGAGTGTTCTAATCTTTGTCAGTTTTTTTCCTGAAATAACTTCCACCTGAGATGTTTTTGTTTAGTCTGTAAACAAAAAATTCCCATTATAAATCATTGCATAACTGTAACCTTTCCCGTTCCTATTACTAGGGCCTGAGTTTCATTTAGATTTTATTCTGCAAGTGTGATGTAAAGAACCATGGATGAGAAAGCAAAACACATTCACAAGTGTTTGTTATTAGATGAATATTTTCTCTGCTTCATAATATTCAAGTTCCAAGAGAAGACAAAAGCCTAGCTTTAAAGTTAAGATTCATTTTAACAATAAAAAATGTTTCTGGTTTACCTTTCTTCAGCTGGGTCCAGTTTACATAGTTTTCTTAGTTGGATAGAGAAATAAACATATTGCTTAATGTAAATGCATACGAATGAGTCAATATACTGACATTCATTGTCTAATCTCTACTTCGAAGACCAGGCTCCAGAAATTACAGAGCTGGAGAATGCTGGGCTGTGCGATATTCGACAGTATGACTGCACATCAGTGAGAGCTTTCGGACATGGCTTCAGGGAGTCATTGACTCTGAAATGTGAAATTATCAAATTACAGGTAGGTCTCCCTGAATAGTAACAATTACATTTTAAACTTCTCGGAGAACAAGGGAAAAAATGTCTAACATATTATTCATTGATGTGGGTACAACCCAATGCTTTAGTAGAAGCTAAAAGCAAAGGCACTCAGCACTTTGCAGCAGACACTCAAGTCTTTGCAAGATTGCCATTTCCTCCATGATAAGAGACATACAAAACATAATGGGAATGTTCAGCAGCCAAGAGGGAGATAACAGCATACGGCAGCTATCCATCAGAAAAGGGCAAGGGCAGCCCTATTAGTAACAATATCGTTGTTCGGGTTTTTTAAGTGCTTATGGAGAGGAACTGAAGTACCACTTCTTTGAAAAAGGACAGCAAGTTTAAAGACATTACTAGATTTCTGTCTCAAATCTAATGCTTGAAATAGCCCTTTTATAAACATAATAAATCTGTTACGAAAAGAGAGGCATTTTTGATGTATTGTCCATTTCCATGGGGTAGAATACCACAGCTATTTAATGATACATGTCAGCTGTATACCCCAGGTTTGAACAGGAGATTAAAAATGTTGCACTGTAAACTAAGAGGAATCTGTGTAGAGAGACTGTTGTTACTCAGACCTAGAATTTGCTCAAGGCAAATTTACAAGCAGTTTACAAGTGTTAGCCTGGAATAAACAATTGGCAATTACAAGTTTTTATGTCATGTTAGACACGAGAATAAAAAAAAGCTTCAAAGTAAAACTGGGTTTCATTGACGTCGTGGTGGTGGTGGAGATGGCGAAAGGGGAACCATTCAATGGGAAAATTTTGTTCTTGAGACAAAAGTTTTCCTTAGTTAGTTCCAGCAGATGCTAAAATTATTTTGACAGATTAAGCAATGCTGGTTATAGATTTTTCTTAAACACAACATGTATCCACTCGTCTGCAAGTTGGCTTGAAATGATAAAGTTGAGAGTAAGTTTACACTCCATTAGGTTAAAAGACTTTTAGACCAAGCTCACAGTGAGACAATTATTGGGAGTTCACTTATCACAGTTTGAACTGTCTCAGTTTTAACTCATGGCAAGATATTCTGATACAACACTTGTGGTGGTGTATTTGGCTCCCAACTACAAAAATTTTCTATTTAACCACTTTTATTGATGATCTTCACACTGATAAGAACCAGGTTAGAAAATGAACACTACTGCTGTTATCTGCAGTTAAGGAGGAAGCTGAGATTTTTTTCCTTGAAAATACAAAAGAAAGGATGTTTGGGTTTTTTTGTTTTGTTTAGTTTTGTTTGCTTAGTTTTCAGGCGGGAGAAGTAGTGATTGTGCAAATGTCAGCGGACTTGCAACAGTATAGAACTCTACGTATTTTGAGATTAAACTTAAAAGATCAAAATTCCATAGAAGAGGCATTTTGGCAGAATTTAGAGCTAATACACACTGAATTTCTTATTTTTTATATCTTCACTTTTGAAAGGTTAAGTCAAATCCATCGTCCATGGGCTGTCCTACCATGTTAGGAAGGATGTAAGTCTTGTGCATGACGCTAAAAGAGGTGATTCAGAGAATTCTGTATTGAAGTACCTCACAGGTGCAGGACTACTGCACATCTTTTGATAGAGGTTTGGGTAGGACATGGCCAAGGAACCTATGATTACACAAATCCAGATTTTACTAAGATTTTTGTAAAAGATGAGAGTGTGTTTAACCTCCCCAAAACAAAAGTACAGTTTTAGTTCCTTCTTATTTACATTGAACTGCAGAAGTAAGTTTTTCTATGAACCTAACGAGCCAGAATGTTAGCAGATCTGAAGGTTTTTTAATTGGTTTTTGAAAGGTTAATATGCTTCTGAAAAAATTATCTGAACTTGCCTCCAGCTAATAACAAAAGGTTTCTGGAGAAATAGACTGCATCACATTTCAAAGGTTATGGTACTAAATGCGCTCAAAATGACATATTTAGAAATATTTAGCTGTTACACTTTTACTCACCCTTGCTGTGAATTCCATAACTGAGTATAGGGTGAAAGAAAAACAAAATGTTTGGTTGGAACAAAAATAGCTCATATATCTTTTCAGCAAAATTTTTTATTTTTCTGTTATTTTTTGTTTGTTTAAAAAAAAAAAATTGCAAGGCCTTATCAGCAGATGACTCCCCATGTCAGGTTGGGATTGAATAAATGTCTCGATTGACTCCAGTAACTGAAAAAATGTGCCAGCTCAGTAAAATGTAGTCAAGCTCAAAATTATTTTGATCTTGCTGTTCTCTTGATTCTTAGTCTGTCTGGATTCTTACTTCCATCTAACTTTAGTTTCAGTATGCTTATCCCTGCTTCCACACCAATACTTCAGTCAAATAGTATTATCATCCCTATCCTGTTACCCTGAACTGTCAAGATAGGTCCTTGGATGACTTGTCCTCACTGCAGTTTAGAAGAAAAGTCTACAGGGTTAATGGTGTAGTCCATTGGCTTGTGCAAGGGCTTAATGGCTAACTGCCAGTATTCCCCTAGCACCCAGAATGATACCCAAGCCCTGCCAAAAACCTCATCTGTTCCTTCGACGAAAGCTTGTCCTCTCATGGGAGCAGAGATGGAGAGGGATAGAGGCACTTATACATCAGGTCAGTGCTGTTAGAGGATCACCCACTGCTTAACCCTCCCATTACGCTCCAGCTGGAAGAACTGTTTGTCGTTGGCGATGCAGTGCCAAAGGGCTGTGTGGCAGGAAAGATGCCTTTTCTTCCACAGTAGCAGGCTTAGGTAGAAATCTGTGTGTGCAAATAATACCATTTAATATTTCCCACTGCATTCTAATCCAGAGACATTAGGCTTGTTCACACACTGTGCAATACATGTTTTTTTTTTTCTCTGATAAAAATATTTTCATAATGTATTTCACTGAAAAACAGGTTTTCTGTCTTAACATTTAGTATAGTGATAGACGATGGATTCCCGGAGAACCTCTAACTATGCCAGCTGCCTTCCAAAATGCCAGGACTGTCGACTGCCAGTTACCAAATGATGGCCAGCAGTCTGATGTCATGGATCTGGTTGATGATAAACCCATTGCCAGGTGGCAAATAAAGGTACTTGCAGAAATTTCAAATATTCACTTACAGATATTCCTATTAAGATGAAAATACATGACATAGATGTCCTTTTTTTTAATGGTACTAAAGGTGGAACTCAGCTTGCTTAGCTTGGGGTCTCAGTTTCATCGCCTAAGCTTAAGTGTTGAGTGCCATTAGGGAGTATTCTCCTGCAAGGGGACTGGTAGATATGACCTAGGACCTACGGAGACACACGTTCTTCAAGAGTAGAAGTTAAAGGCCAAGGTGCTTACCCTAGAGCATTTCAAATGACATCAGACACATTTATGGGAAAATTGAGTTGAGCCCAGTCTACATGTACGAATCCCTGTGTGAGGTAGATATCTGAGCTCTCATACAGATTGAGTCAATAAGGTCAATAGAGCCTACACACTATTCAATTTACCCTAAAGTAGACACCTACATGTGGTTGGTCAAATATCTGCCTAGACTTATTGGCAGGATTGATTAGATTTCTGATGACTATTATGACCGTTTAAAAAGTTAAATGTAGGTGTCTATCAATGAGTTGAAGCTCATGCTAGCAGTTCACGCTGGCGATATGTTGATGCCTCTATGGGTTAATCCATTTTTACTGTACATCTTGCAGATTTCTAATGATGGATTCATTTATAGCAACTCTAAAACAATGATACTATACGATGGAGCCTGTCAGACATGTGAACCACAAGAATCTGGGTTATGTACGTTAAAGGTATGTATTTCATTACTATGTTTATTATGAAAATATGCATCTTTTCAGGCAGAAAAAAATCTAGAAAAATCAGCAGAATGTACCCTGTTCTTGTTTCCAACAGGAATTTTCCATGCACAGAAGTGATAAGCACAGAAAGAGAAGCAGGGATGAGGCAATTTTGAATTAAAAAAATCAAATCAAAAGCACTTCATATAATTACCAAATAAAACCAAATGTGCTGTCAGTTGTTTAGATTTAAAAACAACCGTAGTTGTTTAGTAGAAGTGCAGAATAGGTTAGATTTTATTTGACACTTTACAAATTCATCCAAATTTACTGTTTGATAACCAAAAGTTAATGAATCACATTGTCATCTCTCTAAAAGGAGAAAACATGCAACATAGATGGACTCTGTTACGGTGAAGGTGACACAAATCCAACCAGCCCTTGCTTACTCTGCAGACCTGACATATCAAAGTTAACTTGGTCAGTTGTTGAAAGTAAGTTCTAAATAGGTTGTTTTTTTTTAAATAGTAGATTTTCAACTTCTTGCTAAGTTTTTAAATTTATGGAAATAGTGAAGTTTTAAGTTTAACTAGTTAAGTGTTTTATTTAAAGCTTAGTACCCACTACTTTAGCTTGTAATTTGATCTTGGTTTTCATCGGACATTTCTCCTAATTTCTGAAAATGGTATTTTGTTTTCCAGATCATAT